ACCCCCGAAGAATTGCGAGAGTGTTCATTAATTTTATAGTCTTTACAAGAGTTGGCAAAGGCTTTTAAGAGTTCACGATGGCGCGCGTACGAAGTAATGGTAAGCATATATGAAGATTAACACATGCTGAAGTAGTCAATGATAGTGGTCCTGAGTTACGGGAAGTACCCCCGAAGCCTTGCGAGAGTGTTCATCGATTTGCATAGTGTTCAACAGTTGACAAAGGCATTTAAGCGTTCAAAATAGCGCGCGTTCGAACTAACGATAAGTTTAAATGAAGATTGACCAAGCCGAAGTAGTCAATGATAATGGTCGAAAGTTACCGAAAGTACACCCGATGTATTGCGAGAGTGTTCATTAATTTTATAGTGTTCACAACAGTTGGCAAAGGCTTCTAGTTGCTCACGATGGCGCGCGTTCTAAGTAATGGTAAGTTTAAATGAAGATTGACGAAAGAAGCAGTAGTCAATGAGTAGTCAATTTAATAGTCCAAAGTTACCGAAAGTACCCCAGAAGTATTGCGAGAGTGTTCATTGATTTTATAGTGTTTACAAGTTGGCAAAGGCTTTTAACAGTTCACGATACCGCGCGTTCGAAGTAATGGCAAGTTTAAATGAAGACCAAGCCAAAGTAGTCAATGATAATGGTCGAAAGTTACCGAAAGTACCCCCGAGGTATTGCGAGAGTGTTCATCAGTTTTATAATGTTTACAAGAGTTGACAAAGTCTTGGAAGTGTTTACGATGGCGCACGTACAAAGTAATGGTAAGTTTAAATGAAGATGGACCATGCCGAAGTAGTCAATGATAGTGGTCGAAAGTCACCGAAAGTACCCCCAAGGATTGCGAGGGCCTTCATTACTTTTTATAGTGTTCACAACAGTTTGCAAAGGTTTTTACGTGTTCACGATGGCGCGCGTTCGAAGTAAAGGTAAGTTTAAATGAAGATTGACAAAACCGAAGTAGACAAAGATAGTGGTCGAAAGTTACCGAAAGTACCCCCGAAGGATTGCGAGCGTGTTCATTAATTTTATGGAGGTTACAAGTTGGCAAAGGCTTTTAAGTGTTTTCGAAGTAACGGTAAGTTTAAATGAAGATTGACGCAAGCCGAAGTAGTCAGTGAGTAGTCAAAGAGTAGTCAATGAGTAGCCGAAAGTTACCGAAAGTACCCCCGAAGTATTGCGAGAGAGTTTAATTTTATGGTGTTTACAAGTTGGCAAACGCTTTTAAGTGTTCACCATAGCGCGCGTTCGAAGGAATGGTAAGTTTAAATGAAGATTGACCAAGCCGAAGTAGTCAATGATAGTGGTCGAAGTTACCGAAAGTAGCCCCGAAGGATTTTTTTACAGTGTTTACAAGAGTTGACAAAGGCTTTTAAGTAATCACGATGGCGCGTACGAGGTAATGGTAAGGGTATATGAAGATTGACACAAGCTGAAGTAGTCAATGATAGTGGTCGTGAGTTACCGATAGTACCCCCGAAGCATTGCGAGAGTGTTCATTGATTTGTATAGTGTTCAACAGTTGATAAAGGCATTTCAGCGTTCAAAATAGCGCGCGTTCAAAGTAATGGTAAGTTTAAATGAAGATTGACCAAACCGCAGTAGTCAATGATAATTGTCGAAAGTTACCGAAAGTACCCCCGAAGGATTGCGAGAGTGTTCATTAATTTTATAGTGTTTACAAGTTGGCAAACGCTTTTAGGTGTTCACCATAGCGCGCGTTTGAAGTAAAGGTACGTTTAAATGAAGAAGTAGTCAATGATAGTGGTTGAAAGTTACCGAAAGTACCCCCGAAGTATTGCAAGAGTGTTCATTAATTTTATAGTGTTCACAAGAGTTGCCAAAGGCTTTTAAGTGTTCACGATGGCGCACGTACGAAGTAAGGGTAAGCGTATATGAAGATTGACACAAGCTGAAGTAGTCAATGATAGTGGTCCTGAGTTACGGGAAGTACCCCCAAAGCATTGCGAGAGTGTTCATTGATTTGTATAGTGTTCAACGGTTAACCTGAGATCAGGCGTTATTTATTTATTTTTTTGCTTCTTTGCTTCTTAGGCTTGAGGGGGTGAAAAATAACGCCTGATGACAAAGGCATTTAAGCGTTCAAAATAGCGCGCGTTCAAAGTCATGGTAAGTTTAAATGAAGATTGACCAAGCCGAAGTAGTCAATGATAGTGGTCAAAAGTTACCAAAAGTATCCCCGAAGGATTGCAAGAGTGTTCATTAATTTTATAGTGTTCACAAGTTGGCAAAGGCTTTTAAGAGTTCACGATACCGCGCGTTCGAGGTAATGGCAAGTTTAAATGAAGACCACGCCAAAGTAGTCAATGATAATGGTCGAAAGTTACCGAAAGTACCCCCGAGGTATTGCGAGAGTGTTCATTAATTTTATAGCTTTTACAAGAGTTGGCAAAGGCTTTTAAGTGTTTACGATGGCCCGCGTTCGAAGTAATGGTAAGTTGAAATGAAGATTGACGCAAGCAGAAGTAGTCAATGAGTAGTCGATAGTTACCGAAAGTACCCCTGAAGTATTGCGAGAGTGTTCATTAATTTTATAGCTTTTACAAGAGTTGGCAAAAGCTTTTAAGTGTTTACGATGGCCCGCGTTCGAAGTAATGGTAAGTTGAAATGAAGATTGACGCAAGCAGAAGTAGTCAATGAGTAGTCAATTAGTCGATAGTTACCGAAAGTACCCCTGAAGTATTGCGAGAGTGTTCATTGATTTGTCTAGTGTTGAACAGTTGACAAAGGCATTTAAGGGTTCAAAATAGCGCGCGTTCGATGCTAAGTAATGGTAAGTTTAAATGAAGATTGACCAAACCGAAGTAGACAAAGATAGGCTTCGTGAGTTACGGGTAGTACCCCCGAAGCCTTGCGAGAGTGTTCATCGATTTGCATAGTGTTCAACAGTTGACAAAGGCATTTAAGCGTTCAAAATAGCGCGTGTTCGAACTAATGATAAGTTTAAATGAAGATTGACCAAGCCGAAGTAGTCAATGATAGTGGTCGAAAGTTACCGAAAGTACCCCCAAGGATTGCGAGGGCGTTCATTACTTTTTATAGTGTTCACAACAGTTGGCAAAGGCTTTTAAGTGTTCACGATGGCGCGCGTTCGAAGTAAAGGTAAGTTTAAATGAAGATTGACAAAACCGAAGTAGACAAAGATAGTGGTCGAAAGTTACCGAAAGTACCCCCGAAGGATTGCGAGCGTGTTCATTAATTTTATGGAGTTTACAAGTTGGCAAAGGCTTTTAAGTGTTCACGATAGCGCGCGTTCGAAGTAATGGTAAGTTTAAATGAAGATTGACAAAACCGAAGTAGACAAAGATAGTGGTCGAAAGTTACCGAAAGTACCCCCGAAGGATTGCGAGCGTGTTCATTAATTTTATGGAGTTTACAAGTTGGCAAAGGCTTTTAAGTGTTCACGATGGCGCGCGTTCGAAGTAATGGTAAGTTTAAATGAAGACGCAAGCCGAAGTAGTCAATGAGTAGTCAAAGAGTAGTCAATGAGTAGCCGAAAGTTACCGAAAGTACCCCCGAAGTATTGCGAGAGTGTTTATTAATTTTATGGTGTTTACAAGTTGGCAAACGCTTTTAAGTGTTCACCATAGCGCGCGTTCGAAGGAATGGTAAGTTTAAATGAAGATTGACCAAGCCGAAGTAGTCAATGATAGTGGTCGAAAGTTACCGAAAGTAGCCCCGAAGGATTATTTTATAGTGTTTAGAAGAGTTGACAAAGGCTTTTAAGTGTTCACGATGGCGCGGGTACCAAGTAATGGTAAGTGTATATGAAGATTGACACAAGCTGAAGTAGTCAATGATAGTGGTCGTGAGTTACCGATAGTACCCCCGAAGAATTGCGAGAGTGTTCATTGATTTGTATAGTGTTCAACAGTTGATAAAGGCATTTAAGCGTTCAAAATAGCGCGCCTTCGAAGTAATGGTAAGTTTAAATGAAGATGGACCAAGCCGAAGTAGTCAATGATAATGGTCGGAAGTTACCGAAAGTACCCCCATGGATTGTGAGGGCGTTCATTACATTGAACGCAATTTGGCAAAGGCATTTAGGCGTTCACGATAGCGCCTGTTCGAGGTAATGGGAAATTTGTATGAAGCGGTTAACGCAAGCCGAAGTAATCGACGATAGTGGTTGAAAGTTACCGAAAGTACCCCCAAAAGAACGCAATTTGGGAAAGGCATATAGGCGTTTACCATAGAGCCGGTTCGTTGTAATGGTAAGTAATCATGTAGCCGAAGTAGTTAACAATGGTGGTCGAAAGTTACCGAAAGTACCCTGAAGGATTGCGAGAGTGTTCATTACACTAAACGCAATTTGACAAAGCCATTTAGGCGTTTATGATAGTGCGTGTTGGAAGTAATGGTTAGTCTATATGTAAGATTAACGCAAGCCGAAGTTATTGTGTAGTCAATAATAGTCGTGGAAAGTTACCGAAAGTATCTCCAACAGAACGTAATTTCGGAAAGGCATGTAGGCATTTACGATAGCGCCGGTTCGAGGTAATGCATGGTAAGTAAACATGCAGATTTAACGCAAGCCGAAGTTGTAAACAATAGTGGTAGGAAGTGACCAAAAGTACCCCGAAAGATGGCGAGAGTGTTCATTACAAGGTACGAAATATGAGAAAGGCATTTAAGCGTTTATAATAGCGCGCGTTAGTAAACACAAAGATTAACGAAGGCCGAAGAAGCCGACAATAGTATTCGCAAGTTACCAACACTGCCCCAAACGTTGGCGAGAGTCCATCGTATTTCGCGACCAGCATTCGAGATATTTTGAAAAGACCTATCCTTAATACTTTCAGAACAAAAAAGGCATTGTTGCCCAGTAGCAGTCATTTTCGTAAGAAGGAAAGTCCTCCTTTGAAAATGACTGCTACTCAAGCAAATTTCTACAAAGTTTTATTCAGGTGTTGTATATATGAAAAAAAAATATTAGGTTAAGCTCCTAAAGTATTTCATCTTGGTCGATCATCTTCACTCTAGTTGTGTTGTAAGAGGCAAGCACTTTTCCTGATGTTCAACTTGAGAAACATGTCCTAAAACAGGAAAAAAAGGTTCAATGTTTATCAGTAGACCGTAGATCAATGATAAAGAAATTTAAGTACTGGTTATTATTTGCTCATGTTTTATCGCGTTGGTAAGTTTTCTAAATGATTTGCGCAGTCCAACCGCTATGTTTGCGACTACCCCTGCTCGATACCTGTTGTCAAAAGGGCTATTCAAGTCTTATCAAGAGATCACGTACCTTTCATTATTGGTGTTTTTTCATCAGCTTGTACGGGTTTCACCAGATGATGATTTTCCAAGCTTTGTACACTGAAAAAGTGCAATTTGAAAACGAACCTAAACTCAGTAAAGATAACGACCAATACAGTAAACATCTGTTAGCAAAATAAAGCATTTCAATGATTAAAAATACAGGTACTCGTGCCACCCCCAACACTATTTTTTAGTTTAACCGTACTTATTGTAATAAGCACATATAAGAAACTTTTACTGCTTTACTCCTGATAGCGGCAAGAATAAATGAGTTGATTTCAGTCGTTCACTTCTTAGTTCTCTGTTCTCTCACAAACAAACGACGCCAGTGCACAACTCTTACGATGCTGTGCTCTTATTCTAGAGTATATAAGTTCCACCCCCATAAATAATATCAGCCCTTAACAGTTATGGTGCTGAATATGTGCCGCTCTTAAAAGAAAACAGGAGACTAATGCAAAGAAAAATATCCATAATACCTGAAGCGTAGAAAACGCCTCCCAACGTGATGAATAAATTAATTGGTGGGTAGGTTCAATCTAGAAAATAAAAAGCTCAAGAAAAAGACACAAGCGCTTAGAAAATGTTACCAACAGACTTAAATTGAACTAATACAGCTGATTTCATGTGGAATTAATTCTCAAGCTTTTTTCCTTAGACGCTTTCCAAGCCGGTCTTATTGACCTCTTTCAGTTGCAAAGGGATCCTAGACTCAGTTCTAGGGATTTGTAAGTATATTTTTTTGCTTTGTTCAAGACCCGATAATAATTTATTTCTTCTTTCCTCTCCACCCTATTTATTATTTATGGCAAAATAAAGTTTTATGTCACTTGCTGATTTTGCGTTTGATTTGCAACGATAAGGGATATAGATAACAAATAAAGTTTAACGCCAAACTATCAGCAGATGTTTTAAGTGGGCAGGAACATAAAAAAGAAATATAAAAAAAAAAGGCAAGTCGACTCTCAATGAACCCTCAAACAGCTTTTTGCTTGTAATAACAACAGCGCAAATTTATACAGTCATACTATAAATACAATAAAATCATTCCGAATTCTCCACTGAGATAATTATTTTTAAAGCGTCCAGCATAAGCCTCGTTATAACCTACAAAGATACAACAGTGGTGAGTCAAGTAAAGGCATTAGTGGTAAAGGCATTAGGGACTTCTCTTCTCCCGTGGACACTTACTGGGTGTAAATCCCATTGGTCCTAGTTAACAGAAAGTAGTTTAGGGAGAACCTCTCTCCCACCGTTGCTGTGTTGGAATCCCAGTTGACCTAGGTGTAAATTCCTTTGTATAAATATCAGAGCTACATGTAACAGTTTTAAAAAAACTGTCTCCCATTGTTGCTGGGTTGCAATCCCAGTTAACCTAAGTGCATATTGCTTTATATAACCATCAGAGTTTCTTATATCAAATAGTTCAAAAAGCACATGTCTCCCGTTCCTGCTGGCCTGGAATCCCACATTATCTAGTTTTAATAGCAAGTTTCATCTATCATAGACTAAAGTCTCAGTCCAGGGAGCTCCTGTCTCCCTTGCTTTCTGGGCTGGAATCCCAGTTTATCTAGTTTTCATAATACGTTTCATCTATCATAGACTAAAGTCTCAGTCCAGGGAGCTCCTGTCTCCCTTGCTTTCTGGGCTGGAATCCCAGTTTATCTAGTTTTCATAATACGTTTCATCTATCATAGACTAAAGTCTCAGTCCAGGGAGCTCCTGTCTCCCTTGCTTTCTGGGCTGGAATCCCAGTTTCTCTAGTTTTCATAGTACGTTTCATCTATCATAGACTAAAGTATCAGTCCTTGCTGAGGGAGCTCCTGTCTCCCTTGCTTGCTGGGTTGGAATCCCAGTTTATTTAGTTTTAATAGTAAGTTGCATCTATTATTGACTGAAGTATCAGTCCAGGGAGCTCCTCTCTCCCCTGCTTGCTAGGTTAGAATCCCAGTTTATTTAGTTTTAATAGTAAGTTTCATCTATTATTGACTTGAAGTTATCAGTCCAGTTTTAATAGGAGCATCCTGTCTCCCTCCTGCTTGCTGGGTTGGAATCCCAGTTTATCTAGTTTTAATAATAAGTTTCATCTATTATTGACTGAAGTATCAGTCCAGAGAGCTCCTGTCTCCCTTGCTTGCTGGGTTGGAATCCCAGTGTATTTAGTTTTAATAGTAAGTTTCATCTATTATTGACTAAAGTATCAGTCCAGGGAGCTCCTTTCTCCCTTGCTTGCTGGGTTGGAATCCCAGTTTTATCTAGTTTTTAATAATAAAGTTTCATCTATTATTGACTGACTCAAGTATCAGTCCAGGGAGCTCCTGTCTCCCTTGCTTGCTGGGTTGGAATCCCAGTTTATCTAGTTTTAATAGTAAGTTTCATCTATTATTGACTGAAGTATCAGTCCAGGGAGCTCCTGTCTCCCTTGCTTGCTGGGTTGGAATCCCAGTTTATCTAGTTTTAATAGTAAGTTTCATCTATTATTGACTGAAGTATCAGTCCAGGGAGCTCCTGTCTCCCTTGCTTGCTGGATTGGAATCCCAGTTTATCTAGTTTTAATAGTAAGTTTCATCTATTATTGACTGAAGTATCAGTCCAGGGAGCTCCTGTCTCCCTTACTTGCTGGGTTGGAATCCCAGTTTATCTAGTTTTAATAGTAAGTTTCATCTATTATTGACTGAAGTACCAGTCCAGGGAGCTTCTGTGTCCCTTGCTTGCTGGGTTGGAATCCCAGTTTATCTAGTTTTAATAGTAAGTTTCTTCTATTATTGACTGAAGTATCAGTCCAGGGAGCTCCTGTCTCCCTTGCTTGCTGGGTTGGAATCCCAGTTTATCTAGTTTTAATAGTAAGTTTCATCTATTATTGACTGACGTATCAGTCCAGGGAGCTCCTGTCTCCCTTGCTTGCTGGGTTGGAATCCCAGTTTATCTAGTTTTAATAGTAAGTTTCATCTATTATTGACTGAAGTATCAGTCCAGGGAGCTCCTGTGTCCCTTGCTTGCTGGGTTGGAATCCCAGTTTATCTAGTTTTAATAGTAAGTTTCATCTATTATTGACTGAAGTATCAGTCCAGGGAGCTCCTGTCTCCCTTACTTGCTGGGTTGGAATCCCAGTTTATCTAGTTTTAATGGTAAGTTTCATCTATTATTGACTGAAGTACCAGTCCAGGGAGCTTCCGTGTCCCTTGCTTGCTGGGTTGGAATCCCAGTTTATCTAGTTTTAATAGTAAGTTTCTTCTATTATTGACTGAAGTATCAGTCCAGGGAGCTCCTGTCTCCCTTGCATGCTGGGTTGGAATCCCAGTTTATCTAGTTTTAATAGTAAGTTTCATCTATTATTGACTGAAGTACCAGTCCAGGGAGCTCCTGTGTCCCTTGCTTGCTGGGTTGGAATCCCAGTTTATCTAGTTTTAATAGTAAGTTTCTTCTATTATTGACTGAAGTATCAGTCCAGGGAGCTTTTGTGTCCCTTGCTTCCTGGGTTGGAATCCCAGTTGCCTTAAGGGCATATTACTTTGAAAATCAGGGATAATCTTCTTAGAGCAACAACTCTTCCCAAGAAAATCTGAAATTATAGCTAAAATAACTGAGATTTTTGAATTATTTGAAAAAAAAAAAAAATTTAAAAGCTTGAGAAAACCTGGTTCATGACAGAAGCTGAGATATGGCATGACCTATAGAAAAGGGTGTATGGCCTGTGCAGTATCCGAGACGCACGTGAGTGCAACGGCCATATAAATTGGGGGACCTCCGCTTGCGTCCAGACCGGGACACCTGGGCATGAGCGCTTACAACAGACTTGTTTCGTGACAGAAGCTGAGATATGGCATGACCCGATGAGCGGTACACCGCCGCCCGTGCAGTATCACTCGTAAAGCTCTGCACCACTGCAGAATGAGTTGATAAGCACTTGAGTGCAACGGCCGTTTTCTTATCAGGTGCCCAATACATCACCTGTCGGTCAGAGGCGACCACCCAGACCTCGGTGTAACTGATGGCTCAGTACCACTCTCACCGCGTAAGTAGACAAGCACCCTGTGGAACGCACGAAACCCTCCACCTGGCTTGAGGCCACTGTATTGGCAACAATACGCCAACTTTGTTTTTGGACTCCCCTTTTACTACTAAAAGCTGCTATTTTAAATTTATTGAAAGAATTGCTGCTGCTCAAACAGTATCATACTATTAATAATTAAAGGTAAAGATGTAATGCACTTCATGTAGTAGTTCAAGAATTAGGTTATTAAAGGTTCAACTATATGCATAATAGCTAGACTGTAGTATCACTCCACGTATTACTTATCTCGCTTGCTAAGTTGGAATCAAGGTAAGTGCTTTCATTTAGAAGTAAGCTTTATCTATCATTGACTGAGGTATCAGTCCAGGGAGCTTCTGTCTCCCTTGCTTGCTGGGTTGGAATCCCAGTTATCTAGTTTTAATAGTAAGTTTCATCTATTATTGACTGAAGTATCAGTCCAGGGAGCTCCTGTCTCCCTTGCTTGCTCGGTTGGAATCCCAGTTTATCTAGTTTTAATAATAAGTTTTATCTATTATTGACTGAAGTATCAGTCCAGGGAGCACCTGTCTCCCTTGCTTGCTGGGTTGGAATCTCAGTTTATCTAGTTTTAATAGTAAGTTTCATCTATTATTGACTAAAGTATCAGTCCAGGCAGCTCCTGTCTCCCTTGCTTGCTGGGTTGGAATCCCAGTTTATCTAGTTTTAATAGTACGTTTCATCTACTATTGACTGTCAAAGTATCAGTCCAGGGAGCTCCTGTCTCCCTTGCTTGCTGGGTTGGAATCCCAGTTTATCTAGTTTTAATAGTAAGTTTCATCTATTATTGACTGAAGTATCAGTTCAGGAAGCTTCTGTCTCCCTTGCTTGCTGGGTTGGAATCCCAGTTTATCTAGTTTTAATAGTAAGTTTCATCTATTATTGACTCAAGTATCAGTCCAGGGAGCTCCTGTCTCCCTTACTTGCTGGGTTGGAATCCCAGTTTATCTAGTTTTTATAGTATATTTCATCTAACATAGACTGAATTAGCAGTCCAGGGAGCTCCTGTCTCCCTTGGTTACTGGGTTGGAGTCCCAAGTTACTTAGTTTGAATAGTTCATTTTATCTATCATAAACTGAAGTATCATTTCAGGGAGTTCCTGTCTCCCTTGCTTGCTGGGTTTGAATCTCAGAATTGTTACCTATTAGTTCAGGGAGAACCGGTGTTCCTTGTTGCTGGGTTGGAATCCCAGATGACCTGGTTTTATACGTAGTGGTTTATTTTTATTTTTAAAGTTTCTATGTAATCTCTCGGTCTCCCAATTGTTTGCTTGTTTGGAATCCCAGTTTACCTAAGTTCATAATTCCTTATATAAATATCAGACTTTGCACCTAATTTTTCAGGGAGCACCAGTCTCCCATTTCTTTGGTAGGTTGGAATTCCAGTTGACCTATTTATATATTTCTTAATAATAATCAAAACATGAAACCGGTATGTATCCCAGTTGTTGATCTCAAAGGTTTAAAACTGATATCCCTTTGCATGTTTGAGTGGTGTATCTTCTTCACCGTGTTATGCTAGATAGCATAAATAATGTATATACACGTAAAAAGAATACGTAATTTTAATATTGTATTTTACCTTTTTTAATTTTTGTTTGTCAAATCCTTTAAGTTGTGCCTCTGATCTCTTGGCATATCTCTGAGTGATAAAGAAATGAACTTTATTTAGTTACAGTCTCACACTAACAATCTAATAGTCATCTCAAGCACTCACCCACAGGTCGTATTTCAAACTTAAAGAGTTAAAATTAACTGTTGGAGGGGAGATGTGATTTAAGGTTAATAAGGTTGTCAATTGACTGAAGGTATAAAATGGTATTAGCATGTTACCATGCCATTCTAAATATCCAAAGTATGGGAGCACTGGGACTAATGCACATTTTTGGCATCTACCAGGGACAGGACCCTACGCCAACCAGCTCTTTTTCTCCTTGAGCTTCGCTGGCCTGCCACCTACTTTCTCTTTTTCTCCATCTTTCTCTTGCTCTATATTCCAAATTTGTGGACATGACAATTAATCTAAGCTTAATACTTTAGACGACACAGATACAGAAACAATTTCCGCTTTTCGTTTTCATCGTTATGGACTCTTTAGCTGTCCCTGCTTGACAAGACGCGGGTGGCTATGTGATTTTCGCCAAAATAATTTACGGTGAATGTATGAGATTTTGGCCTGCTTAGAACCGCTATAACGCCGCTACAAAGAGGTAGATTTCCACAGTGAAATATATTTTAGAAGACATTTGTACTGAGATTATTTTTACAAAGCATAAAGAAGAGATTCAGGCTATAATGACCGTAAACAAATTTTAAGATTTCATACAAACCCTTTTATGCAAATTACCATGAAATTAGAGGTAGTTTTGAAAACGAAGCACTCGACAACGAGGACCGAAGTACGAAGCACCCAAATCTCGAAAACAAAGAACCCAAAACTCGAAAATGGAGCACAAAAGACTCGAAACCACTGTACGTTGAAGGACAACAACTTTAAGTCTTGCATGACGCAAGCCAAACCAGGTAGAGGCAATGGATGCGTCCACACCTCCAAAGGTCCACCGATCCATCCCACGGCATTTGATTTCTCGCTTGCAGAGGTAGGGCGGTATTGATATTTATTGGTTGAGCCCTTCTTTCCTGCCACCCTTTTGTCTGTGTTCGTCAAGCCGGCATAATTCCAACTTTCTCTGCCCCTACAATTGAATGTTTGTTTGTTTGTGTAAAAGGCCTAAAATGGCCAAGGATAGTAGTTCTCTCGTCCGTCCACGAAAGCGCAAAGGTCTGAACATTCGGCCACGTTTATTTCTAATTGATCATGTTTCAAGTTGATCAGGTTCACCACTGACAAGCTCTGACTGTTACCGCTGTCCTTCCTTATATTGTTTAGCTCGAGTTTTCAAAAATCTGCCTGCCCCACACAAGCACTACGGCGTTTTTGATGTTTTTGCCGATTTTCAAAGTTTTTTCCAACCTGAAAACTTGGGGTTCGCACTAAGCAATGTCCACCGATGACAGATTTCTACCTCAAGGTAGTGCGACCCATACCTTAGACAGGGTAGCCTACGTGTAGCCACACCCTCCCCGACAGAAGAAAAACGATATAAACTATTTGACATATTTTTCAGTTTTCCTGTTAAACTGTAAAATTCGTCATGCATCTACTACCTGGAAGGAACTAATTCAAAAATCACTATGTTTGCCCATTTTCAGGAATATCACAGAAATCACGAAAAAAAGAAGAGTTTATTTGGGGGACGCTGTCACAAAATTACAGACGTTTGTATGGATATTTAACCATCTTTCAAGAGTAACAACTTGATCCCTGTTCATCCTTAGAGCACCAAACTTGGTCAAATAACCAATCTCAACATGACCTTTTATATGGTGGTGTCAGTTTATCGATAGTTTAAATCTGATACTCGCCCCAGTGCCCTACGCAACTCCGAAATGGCCAATAGTTAGGGCGACGGAAATGCATTTGCAACACCGCGTAGTTCTACTTGAATAGTTTTGAACTGCATTCTATTTGTTATCGTGCTTGATTCCTGCTGCTGGTGACTTGACAAGGGACTGTCTCGTGTTTTGACAGCACGGACAGGTTTCGAGTTTTGGGTGCTCCGTTTTCGAGTTTTGGGTGCTTCGGCCTTCGTTTTCGAGTTCTTCATTTTCGAAAGTACCGAAATTAGAAGCCACATGAGAAGAATTTAAAGACGCCGTACCTTCTTAGCCTTATTTTCTGTTGAATGAATGATACCAATAAAACTATTTAAAGTAGTGGCAAATGTTGGAAACCCGCATGACTTTGTAGCCGCGTTATAGCGGTTCCAAGTGGGCCAAAAGCCCATACATTCACTGTAATAATTATTAGCCGTGTTTGCCCGCCAGCCAAGATGGCGTCAGAAACCGTGAAAAGGTCTATTCTGGGGAGCTCTGACCTGCCACACTTCCTAAAATGTTACTCTCCCTGGTCCCTTGTATCATCAACCATTGGCTTAAGTCACGAAATGAAATGCGAGATCATGCTAAGTATATTAAAAGACTTAAAGAACTTTACAAAATGAACTATCAAGTCACAAAAAATAATAAAATAAAATAACAAACTCGTAGTCGAAAGACTGACTTGATTTGGCTTTTTCTACCCTGGGTATTAGCCAGACGTTTTGGTTCATGTTTCATTTGTTTACGTAATGGCACAAGGTAGGGTTTCTCTCTCTCTTAGAGTCTGCTTCACTGCTGTTTGTTCTGAGGTGGCGGATTCCATTCCTAAGAACAAGTTAATTTTTTTAGCATCTGTTTATCATCCGCCAAACATGTTTGTACATTCCAGGTGACTCCTTTAGATGAACCCTAGTGTCTTTCACACCTGTTTCCTCACAGGGTCCAGAGGAGTTTCGTGTGAACAAATGAATTACTTATTTAAAGTCTCACCTTGAAAAATGTCTATACCTATCGCTTAGCACAATTAATTAGCCCAATGGGATCTTTATAAATCTACTGTAATCGATTTCTTCGCTTCTTATCTGACCCAGATCGACTTTTGAAAATCAATAACCACAAGCCATATCCTCGCTGGCACACGGCACCTCGCCCGAAGGATGACCGAAGGCCGTCGGTCTTTAGAATGATCATAAATAACCCATTTTTTCAGGGGTTTTCGACGGGTTTTGCTGTTCTAACGACAAATACATCTCCTCTGGACCCTGTGCTTTCCTGTGTCATCATGCAAGGCTAAACTCCCTTGCGTTACGACACGGGAAACGGAGACTAGTAGGTGTAATCATTGTTAAAAATGTTATTTAAAAAATCTATAATGCAATGGATTCAGAAGAAAACAAGTTAAGACGAGCCGAAAGTAATAAAAATGGGTTGAAAAATTTTAATAATGAATGATTGTATTAAAAGTAATTTACCTGGATTTTTATATACCTTTATTATGTTTTGGAACCTATTTTTCACCCCAGCCCTCTTCTTGGGAGTGATGGGATATGCGCGCTTCTTATTTCTTAGTTTTGTGTTAAGCCAATGGTTGATGATACAAGGGACCAGCGAGAGTAAGATTTTAGCGGGAAGTGGATGTTTTGTCCGATTCTCGTATTTCATGTACGTGACATGTTGTCGTCTCGCCTTATTTCAGACATTTATACCCTGTTTTAGATGGTTTTAGATTGTTTGCGAGTGGTTGTAGATGTTTTTGAGGTGGTTGTAGATGGTTGTAGGTGGTTGTTGAATTTTTTGAGGTGGTTGTAGGTGGTTGGAGATGGTTTTAGGTGGTTTTAGGTGGTTTTAGGTCGTTCCATGTTTTAGTAACAATTTTTGTCAACAGTTACTGTTGAGCTTACCTTTATGTCGGCCCTGCAGACCTTCTAATTCTTTTGACTTGTTTAGTATTTTGGTTTTTACATTGCAGAGTCCTTTCTCGAGATTGTTGTAGGTACTTTATAGGCCTAAATAAGTTTACATTGCTACACTGACTCTGTGATTGATGGAAGATTAGGGAGTTTAAGATACGGAGACTACGGACTACGAACTACGGCTGGACGAGCGTTGTCCTTTGTTCGTAGCACTGGGTTGAGTCGTGCAAATATAGAACGTTAAGATTGCACTAAAGACAGTAGACTACGACAGAAGAGGCGGAGAGGGAAACAACACGCAAAGATTTTCTTGTTTTCATCTTAGTTCACAAAAATGCAAGTCAGTTTTGCATGTGATCTTATCTTTAGAACAATGAACAAATTCTTCCATACGTGAAGGAAGCAATTACGTCGGGTGAAATAAACAAAGTTTTGGTTACACAGGTTTTATTTTTTCGCCCATGAATACTTATGTCAAATATTAAAGATATAGACAGAAATAATAATAGCTCATTTATTAGATTTAGGAAATGGACTTCTCCGACTACTGATCTGATGTAGTTTGAATTACTGAAATGCCGAGTTTCGATTGTCTCTAGCATGTTTACATCATTTTCATTCAGCAAATGGCGCGATACAAAAACTCGCATAAATAAAGGTTACACAAGTACAAAGACTCACTAATCAGTTCGAACAAACATTGACACTTTTCAAGAGCGGAGAGAAAGTGAATTACCTGCATGATTTCTCTTCTCCTAGGCCGTCAATCTGAATTCTGCGCTAAGCTTAAATGTAGTCACAACAGTGGATTAAAAGCGTAAATCTGAGCAGAAATTAGACACAACTTACATATTTCGCTTCCCTCTCACTTAAAGCAGGTGAATTGAAAACTTTTTTACGAAAAGACGAGATTCTTGAATTACCGAGACGGCAAAATACGAGCAAAATGTTCTCCGTAGTCCCGACTACGCGAAACAGCTCAACAACTCACCGTAGCCGTAGGACTACGCGGGAAAAATGAACAGTCATGTGGTTTTGATCATGCGCAGTAGCATATTTATCCGTAGCCGTAGTCCGTAGTCGCAGTATCTTAAACTCCCTATTCATCCACCCTGCGCCGCCATATTGGCCGGGACACCAGTAGACCCTGGGACGAGGATTCCTTCGTTGGATATACCACAGGGCACCCACACAATCTGTTTTTTGGTGAATGACTTGGATTCATAGTTTACTGCTACTGCATCTTTCTGTAGCAATATATCGCTAACTATATATAGATCAGTGTTAAATAAACGTTGTATTACCTTACCTACGGTATATTGTTGTCCTTTTGCCTCAAACGTGGTATTTCAGCGATTTTGAATGATTTTGAGTTCGCCTGGATGCTACTGCGCAAAAAGAAAAGAACAAAAGATCGAGTTACAAAATGAGCCATTTGCCATTTTGTAGTAACTTTAACAGCCAAGATCCTGAGTAGACGTAATTCATTGAAGCACCAAAGAAAGATGGGGGTCGGGGTTGTTAAAAGCACTTACGTTTTCAAAATCTCCCAGTTAAGTTGGGTCCGCACTTTTTCACTGCTTTTTAAACAATTAATGACTGTACCTCTGTTAGATTGTGACCTACAAGAGTGAACATGACAAAAAATTAGTTAAAGA